GGCTTTTATGTTTGAGAGACAATACCCAACTTTCTGTGCGTCATATCTGAACTGACAACCTATATTTTAAGGAGATTCTTTTGAAGTATTTTAATGTCTATGACTCGTCGCTTCACAGATTAATCTGGAAAGAATTCATTTCTAATCTATTATCTAAAGAGTATCTAAACAGACAGATTATTATTTATTTTGAATTGATGTGGATTATTGTATTTTAATACATTTTTAATGAATATTATATTTTTGTGATTTTACCTGGTTTTATATTTCATTCATGCGTTGGATTTTACTCATATATTCATCTTAGCATCTTTTTGTATTCATCAGTTCATTGGTTTTTAATTAATTGGTGATTGTAATGTAGAGACATTAGGTATTTTTTGAAAAGCAGACAAGATGAAAATTATGCAACGCCTTTGCCGGGAATCGAACCACGGACCTCTGAATTACGCGCTGAGCGTGCAGACCACCACACCACGAAGGCATGCCAAGAAGGTGGGAAAAATACCTTACATACGCCGCCTTTTAAAGGGCGACTGGGGTTTTAGGGACCCAATCGCCAAATTCTGGATGAGGAGAATCATCATTCAACACCCTTTTAGTTCTGGCGCCGCTGTAGAGACATTAGGTTTTTTTTTAAAGCAGGCAAGAGGAAAAATAGGCAATGCCTTCGTCGGGAATCGAACCACAGACCTCTCAATTACGCGCTGAGCGTGCAGACCACCACACCACGAAGGCATGCCAAGAAGGAGGGAGAAATATCTTATAGTAACAAAATCGAATTGATATAACTTGTGTTCGGCGCAATATAATCATTTTTGGTTTTGCGCCAGTAATTATACTAACCAACCAACTATTTCCCTCAGTCTGGAAGTTTCTGATGCATGCCACATAAAATATATTCGTAACAGCATGGAACTGATTGAAAAATTTTATTTTTTTATCACCACTCCAAAAAGAAATTCTATTTTGAAGGAAAATATACTAAATGATTTCCCTTCTTCAAAAAAAAAAAAAAAAAAATATATCTTTGAAAAACTTTGCCCCACTCATTAGACGAAGAAACACGAATCTGTTCTCGTTATTGTGGAATTCCTAAAGTGCCAGAAATAACAGAAAACTAGCAGGATAAGAAATCATCTTCTCATAGAGTCTTGTGTCTACTGAAATATTCTGCTTTTGTGATTGCAATATTTTCAATTGTAAAAATAATTTTCCATATACGTAGGATTTTAAAGTCGAATTCAATAAATCTTACTGCAGCAATTTAATTATGTGAGGATATTTTAAAATAATTACAACAAAATTCGTGACAATGTAGAAAAAGTTTTCAGTGCAATTTATTCGTAATCGATCACAGTTTTAAGCAAATAAATAAAGAAGAATTTGAAATTACTCTTCCGTGACTGACAAGGAAGCAAGCATCTCGTTTTAATATCACAATTGAATTAACAAAATTCGCGACAATGTAGAAAAAGGTTTTCAGTTCAATTTATTCGTAATCGATCACAGTTTTAAGCAAATAAATAAAGAAGAATTTGAAATTTCTCTTCCGTGACTGGCAAGGAAGTTACGTTTTAATATCACAACTGAATCCATCGATGCTTATTTTCTTATACCAATTTTTCATCACGTCTTGGATTATTTGATATTGCACTTAAGAGAACATTTTATTAAACACAAAGAAATATTAAATTATTTTAATATTTTAGTTCGTCTTCCAAACTAAACATAAAGAAAAATGTTAATTCTTCTGATCAGAGGGACTGTAATATTGGTATTTTAAATTCTCAGTATCAACTCTTTCAAGGAAAATTGCATAAGCAAAATAATTTATCAGCAATAGAAACTTTGTAGAATCATTGCACTTATTTCGAAGCAGACAACATGAAAAATCAGCAATGTCCTCTACGTAAATCGAACTTTGGACCTTCCGACTGTCAAACGGAAGAGCTTCCAATTATATCACAAAGGCATGCGGTAAGGAAAGAGAGAGATCCTTACATTCTCCCCCAATTAAAGACTGTGATTTGGGAGGAGAGAGCCCAATCTATATATCCAGGTGGTGAAGAATTATCATATGCCACATTTTAAGACCAAGACTGGTCTGTATGCTGCTTAATAAATGCTATATCATGAATCAGCTTTTATTCACCAATGAAGGACATGGAAATAAATAACCTTATTTTTTAAATTTTGTCTTTTCACAATATGTAAAATCTTGCATTAAACGTGGTATTAATTCAATGAATAACTTATTTGCCACAATAATTGTACTCTTAAAAAAAACTGCACTATCGAAACAGTTTAATACTCAATAACAAATATTATACAATAATATTTATTAATATCTCAATTTTTATTTACAGCTATAGACATGCGTTCAGTTTGAATATGCGCTGATTAAATTTCAGAACTATATACATGAACTATTAACTTACAGAATTATTAACTTAGATAAACTATTAGTAATAAAATATACTGGACAATTGATAAATTGCTCCTATTGCGTTATAATTACATGCTGATTCGGATGATTATTTTCAAGGCATGTGAAAAAAATGACAAGGAGTTGCCCACAGATTGTCCTTCTCCGATCAGTTTTCTGAAACTAAAACATCCGACATCATTCTATATCTTCTGAGACTATTTTCGTTACACCGCCTTTGCATACGCAGTTTAATCTGCCGATGCATTTATTAGCTCTAAAAATTCAAGCTGTTGCATAACTATGCTGAGATAGTTGTAGTTTATTGAAAACTGGGTGTCTTTTTAAAAAATTTTAAAAACAAAACTTATTTTCAACTACTGCCAAAAAATAGGTTAATAAAAATGCTTGGTTATGCTTCTAGAAATTTTAATTAAATTTAATTAAAGAAATTTAATTAAAGAAATTTTTAATTAAATTCGTTTCATCATCGAGAAAATTGTCTAGCGCATTTCACATGGATTCCATTGATATCATTTCCGTATAGGGATCTGAAGATCCGAAGTTAGACATTCATACCCTCTTGCGTTATCCACATCATACAAACAGAGTCAACTCTTGATTAAGTAAGGTAAGGACGATGTCTACGGCGTTAGCCTGAGGTTAATCACGAGTAAATCATATTCAAAATTTCGCTTAATCCGAGCGCAGTTGAAAAAAAGGCGTGGCCAACACATGATGTTTCATTCAATTCTATTAAATAGTTTAAATAGCAACGAGCTATTTAGGCAAAGCATGACTTCCAGCAGATCGTTTGTAAACAAAATCTAATTTGTTTTCAATAAATGGAAAAGTCTGTAATACTGACTTTTGGATTCAAGTATAATTGGCTATGCGTAAAAAACTGGTTTTTCTAAATTTATACCAACATGATCAAATGTTTGCTCCTTTACTGCTTTTGTTAAAAACTATATTTTATTGGGTAGGTGAATAACATATAATTTAATTGATTTTTAATTAAATGAAGTAACGGTTTATAATACATTTAAAATAAATGTTTTGTAAAGAACACCGTAAGTTAATTTTCTTCTACATTGTTTCTATAGTATCAATAAATCTAAATTCATTTTGATCTGCTCGTACATTGCTGCGAAATTTAAGTATCAGGAAACAATGCTCGTTAAACTGCAACAATACATTATGGTTTATTATAAAACTGATATGGGCTTCAAGTATCACTTTCTGTTGTCCATTAAAAGCCATTACTACGGGCTTCAAACACTACTTCCGCTTGGCCATAGTTTTACTCCATATCTAATCGAATCTTTATATGAATGCAGAAAACTTAAATACGGAAAATAGAAATTTTTAAAAGTTCTGTAAAAGGGTTTTCGTGAATGAAATTATCATCGCACACATACAGACGCCACTGTAAAAAAGCAAAAACACGTTGTGAGGACCCTAATTCATGCTTATTCACTGAAAATTCTCTTTTGAATTATTGGACTGAAAACCTTACCTCTCTCACCTACGTGTATAGATTGGTGGGAGGTAAAAACACAGGGAAGAGGAATAATCTATATCATAATTAACAGAAAAATACTATTAACAATTTACTCGTACTTTAAGTTTGGTTACGTAAATTAAATCAGTGTTCAAAACTAAAAGAACACAGTGTAAATAACGGAAGAATCAGCATAATTTGAAATGACGTTATGATTATTTGAATCACGACAAAGCATGTGGGGCTATATGCCTGCAGGGAGGAATGCCTTCAAGGAGTACTCTTAAGGGAAAGAGGCTTGTATTCGCGAAAACCACGAAAGCTTCCCTGCAGACAGTTTATTCGCCAAGATTAAAATTTGGGTCGAATTACCAGTGTTCAGTGTCTTTGCTGTTTGGCAGGAACCGGCAGTGTTTTTATAACTCTCACACATAACATAAACCATCACTGCTGTTATCCCACGAATTCCCCCCGTACACAGTTTCGTTTTTACTTTTGTAACAGTAATTCTTCCATCATCCGGCAGTATGGAACTTAATTAATTTTTTTTAGGCAGAACCTGCTTAATCAGCATACCAATTTAGTCAGAAACTAACTGTACATTCCTACTCCAGTGTCTAGGTCGGGTCCATCAGTATGGGGGCTATTTGATCGAGTTACGATACAGATTGATTCTTTGATGCCTAACTTTCTTAATGACTTACTTGTATCTAACATAAATTGCTACAGAAATAAATTAAGGCGCTACAAAGAAAAATCATACAAATACATGACTTATTTGTGTACTGAGAAGCCAATTCTTAATATCTGACAAGACACAGTTACCGATATGATCTTGTTTTCTAGTTTTGATGATGTTTTCCTAGTTTTCAAACGTCAAAGATTCGTACAAGCACTTTCCTTTTGGAGTGGGGATGTGTGGGACAGGAATCAACGGAGGGCTTTTGCACGAGAAACGGAGCGTTGAGGCAAACTGCTAAAATAACTTTTCTATTCGTTTAATTAAAAAACGAAACCAGAAACGAAAGAACTCAAGGCCGAAATCTGCTGGGTGTAGGAAATAAACAGGACATACTGACGTCACTGTTGGGTGCTTAGCGTTCCGCCATCTTGCAGTCGCGTTTAATTTAGATTCGCGTGATTCGCTGAGAAGGGTGTTGTCTGAAGCGGTGTACAACGTGGAATTTTCCGTTTGTTTGTTGACAGTTGTGCGTAACCCTTACCAACTCATGGTTTCTGCATCGACGACTTCGAATGACCGCCAGCGGCAGAAATGGTACCGCCGACGCCCAATTTTGCTAAAAGCATATTTTACGGATCTACAGAATGGGAGTTATGCAGCTGCTGTTTATTCCATCGTAAGTCGGTGTTCTCGCATTGTTTATATGTGCATCCGTAGTTCTATTTGCAAATTGCAATAGTTTAATCTCATTTGATTGAAAATTTTAGAAGTGCACAGTGCAGACCATATTTTATATTTCGTTGTATAATATTAAAGAAAATGAATCTTTTATAATGATAATTTTATTTTAAATGTTAGTAATGTTTTGTTGTTGTTCATATGTAGTCCAACACTGCAGTTTGGAGTTACGCAGCTGTATTTTGAAATCTTTCATAGTTTATATAAAATTTACAAGTTTAATTGTGAATTAAGAAAACGTGGTGGTTTGATGTTTAGTACAATTCTATTTTCTCATATTTATCATTCTCTTTTTCGATTAGTGATTTAATAATTTACTCAACTTCCAGTATAAAATAGTAAAGAGTTTCCGAAGAGAAGGAATGGCATGTAAACATAATCACGAGACTATTGGGAATTAGACTATTTTAATTCATCTATGATTTTTCTTTTGTAGCATGTCGTAAACATGTTTGGGCAGTTTGCAGTTTGTTTATAAACATGCGCTAAATATACGAGTGTCGATGTGGGGTGAAATTTTGACACGTGATCAGCATTAATGTGAGCGGTAATTTCATGAAATTATTTGCACCTGTTTAATATAGAAACGAAAATGTTCTGTATATTTTTAATGCTTTTTTATGATTGTGAAATAGTTATTCAATCATAAATAATATATGAGTAAAAGATATTAAAAATTCCCTGGTTTTTAAATGCTAGTTACATTTCCTACAATTCGTTCACAATTTAAAAGTTTTCTGATATTTATTTGGAATTTTTCCTCACTAATGATTTTTGCTGCACATATTTGTATTTCGCAATAGCTCTGGAAGTTAACAATTTTTATATGTGATTTGAAATGCTCTTTTTACTAATCCTCCTTATCTGAATCTCAACTAGCTTCAATCCATGAATTTTATCATGGTCAAGAGGCAAGGGCTTATGCCTGTCATTGACCAATGCCGTAGGCACCTTATATCTATAAAGGTTTTTGCCCATTTGTATCCCAGATTTGATGGAGACCATCCTGGGGGTGAATCTGAGGGTTTTCTACCCATCTTTTCTTGCCACAAACCTCCTGAGAAGAATTTTAGCTTTGTGGTATTTTAAGCATCCCCTTGCCACAAATACTCTGTACACTTAAAAACATCCATGCCTTCTCCATGATTTGAGTCTGAACCCAGAGCTTCCTGCCTCCATGCCAGGAGAGTAGTGAGAATTTATAAATATCATTGATAGCATAGTAAGTATGAAATTAAAGTATAAGAAATAAGGGTCGTTGGTAAGTGAGAGTAACACAGAAAGAAACCTCAAATTATTCTTTAGCGGTTTTGTAACCATCAGAAAATGATGAGTGCTGATAAGAAATTGACTCCTTCCTGCCCCCCTAAAAAAAAAAAAAAAACATTAAAATTTCTCATTTAAATAATATTTTATGAGGGTAGAAAGCTTCTGGTGAGTTATTTTATTATCAAAGTTTAGGAAATAAAATTCAGGACACTTTATGAAACATACATTGAAATGAGTATGTCTTCTAAGTTATCAGTCCTGCATGACAAATTATTACTGATAAGAAGAAATTAAAGGAAAGGTTAAAGCAAGGTATATGATCAACAAAATAGTCAAATTATTGAAAAGTAGATTCATTATATTCTGTGGCAGGTTTGTTTTAATTGTGTGATTCAAATATTGAGGAACAGTTCATTTTGTAAACAAATGATAATTTGCTACCAGATAAGCAGTGATAATTTGCTTGAATAAGTAAATATTATAATTTAATTTTAACAATTATTTCACACAGCTGAAAAAAATTTAGGAAGTTGGAACCACCTAAATTCCACCACAAGGTTTGTTGTGATGATTTGGATAATACGAAGGTGCATTATAAAATTCCACTTTAATCCAAAAGATTTGTTGAGTTTGTCTGGAAAAACCTGTTTGTGAATAAGAACATTACTGAGGTTTCACATTCTTACCCCTTTTCTGTAAATAAATAATCCTTCTACTTCAACTTTTGTAAGTTCTCATTTAAAAAAAATTGTAGACTTTTCTCAGTTCAAGACACAGTCCTGGAAACGGTAGTGACTCGCAAGACTCTGAATTAATTCTGGACATCTAGTAACTTAATTAGCCAAACATGTAATCTGTAGTTAAATAGATATATATAGTTGCATATTTATTATTGTAAATAAATAGAATCTGCATTATGTTGTATTGTTGAATTTTTCTAAAGTTTTAAATTAAGACTGATAAACAATTCAGTTTTGCTTGGGTTTTGAAGCTCCATTATAATATACATCCAGAAATGATCAGTTAGTCAATTATATATTTATCATTTGTTGAATTTTTTTAGTAATAGAAAAGGTCATTCTACTGATGTAGGTGATAATAATATTGGTAGAATTATAAATTACACTCATAGTGCCTTGAATATTTCTTTGAATATTGCTAGTATTATACATGATATTAATTCATGTGTAATACTAGCAATATTCGAAGTGCTGTGAGCAGAGGCGTAGCTAGGGTTTTCAGCGCCCGGGTACAACTGAAGATGTTGCACCCCTTTCTCTGTTCCAAGAACGGAAATCATTTCATTCTAAAATTTAATAACATCAATTTGGCGCCCCCTGAATGCTGCACCCGGGGACAGATGTCCCCTCCTTGCCCCACCCTAGCTACACCACTGGCTGTGAGTGAACTTTTTAAATTTCTTGCAATGAGGTTTATTGTACATCTCAAGACACAAATAGAGTGCTGTCAATTCAAATATTCTATTGTGTGAACTAAAGCTAAGTTTTTTTTAATAGTTGTTGAAAGTTCAGTTTTCTTGAAATTTTATTAAATAAAATTTCAGGAAAATTAGACATGAGGAAAGAAATTTCTGTTTATTCAAAGAGCTCATGAATTCCAGCTTAATATACAAACTAGACTTTTCGTATCTCTGCCTCAATATATTATAATTTACTTAATATCTTATTTCATATTTTTCATTATACTTTATTTTAAGTAAGAAGTCTGTGTTCTGTTATTCACTGGCTGATTATGATTTTTAATTAAAATAAACTGAGAAATCACTTTTTTTGTGATATTCTTACAAGCGTATTAACTTCAATTTAGAACATAGTTCTGAAGAAGAGAAAAAAAAATTTTTTTTTCTTTTTTTAATTTAGATTTATGAAATTTATGTAATTTTACCTATTTCTAATATCAAGCAGACTGATCAAAGCTTTCAAGTGGCAACTCGTGTTTTGCAAAGAAATTTCGGTTAGTCTATATTTTAGGTTGGCCCTTTGATTATCGCCAAGTTCTTGTTTCATTTATCGCCAAATTGTTGATTCGTTTATGGTAACATAAGTAGTTGAATGTTCTGGAAACCCTGTTGTGACGTGATTGGTTGCATGATTGCAGTGACTTTGACTGTATTTGTAAGGGCTTATTTCCCCGTTGGATATCAGATCGGAAGTATGTTGCTTATTTTGTGCTGCATACCATAAAATGGGTGGGTTAGAGTAGAATGAAGGGTATCCCTTGTATTATTTCAAAGTTTTTGATTCATTTATTGCCAAGCTGTTGTTTTGTTTATCGCCAAGTTATTTCATTTATGGTAACCTAGTAGTTGAATGTTATTGAAACCCTATTATGATGTAATCGGTTGCCTGATTGCGGTAAATTTTGAATTATGGGACGTTTTGTTAGGACTTGTAGTGTGTGTTGGTGAGGAAGTACATTGCTTGTTTTGTTGTTCAGATGGTAGAATGGCTGAATGTAGTAAGATTAATTTGAAGTTTCTGTATGATTTGGAACGAAAGGGAAAAAGAGCATTAATTGACTGGTGTGTAAATGAAGGTTTACATAGAAGCCATTTTCCGGACAGTCCGGAACTATGGAGGGTATTTTTCGCTCTTATTTTTGTGAATTTATGTGGCGACGCAAATATACAGATTCAAGTTCAAATAATTTTAGAAAATTTTTGGATGCCATTAAGGAATTTTGTGTGCCACAGACTGAAGACGAAGAAATATCTAAATAAGGTAAGTAGATACTTGCTTTGTGTAGTGCTTAGATGCGTAAGAGGTTTTTCCTTTTTTATGTTATTTTATTGTTTGGTTTAAAATGTAGTTTATTGAGATTATGTATTTTTTGTTTGCCTCTACTGTATAATTGGGTGCTCCTTTGACCTTTTTAAGTGAAAATATATCGATGTGTACATGGACAAATTCAAGGAAGTGTGCAATGCCAAGTTTGTGCAATTCTCTGATGATTTTTTTTAAGTGAAAATAGGTCAGTGTGTACATGGATACCGAGTTTGTGCAATTCTTTGATTTGCTATTTTGTCTTTGGGTAGTGGCGACTTTTGACGCTAAAATCACCGCTACGCAAAGCCAAAGTAACAAATTGCACAAACTCGGTATCCATGTGCTGCCAAAAATCACCAATTTTCTTTAAGGGGTACCCGTAAATATACTTTTACCAATGGCTGTATGTGATGAGATTAATCTGAAGTTTCTGTATGATTTGGAATACAAGGGGAAAAAACATCATTAGTTGACTAGTGTGTAAATGAAGGTTTACTTAGTAGTCATTATAAGTGTCCTGTTGGTACAATGTTAATGCATATGGTTGAACATAACAATGTTCATATGACAATTGTTCATATGGCTTTGTCACAGGAAAGGTTCATGCAAGAAATGCCACCGACAGTCTGGCACTGAAGGATATTTTTTGCTTTTATTTTTGTGAATTTATGTGGTAGTTCAGGTAATTTTAGAAAGTTGTTGGATGCTTTTAAGGAATTGTGTTGTGTGTCACAGATCGAAGACACAGAAATTTCTAAATATGGTAAGTCAGTATTTCCCTTTTGTTGAGCGTATATGCGATAACATGTATTTCTTTTTTTATGTTATTTCATTGTATGATTTAAAATGCAGTTTATTGAGCTTTGATTGGCTATAAATTTTG